GTAATTGTCGAGCATCATTTGATGTAAAATGAATTTGCCCAAAAAACTAAAGAGTTGACTGGTTCAAGTATTGACATAGGATTGAATCTTATTACAATTTAGGGCATCTATTCAATCCAAACATAATGAATAACAACTTCATTTCTTATTATTATATTTTTAGTCATAGGCAATTTGTTTGAAGGATGTATATTTTGCAAAGTCCACTTTGCATAGACAATTGTTTCAGCTTCACGTAAAATCTAAGCTTTATTTAAAAAAAAAAAAACAAAAAAATTCAACTTGTTACTAAGTTGAATTTGTTTGACCAATTCTACTATCGATTTACTATGGAATTTATAATATTTTAATGAGTTGAAATAAAAAATTACTAAACTTTAAATTGTATCTAAACTTAATTGATCTATCTTTCATGACAAAGTGAGTAAATTATCTATTTGACCCCTACATTATATCGTTTGTGTTAATTTAGCCCATAAATTATGTAATTTTATTCAATGTGACCCTTTTGTCAAAATTAGCTATTAACTTTGAACAGGAATTCTCGCGTACACATCACGTGATTAAGATATTAGAGTATAATTTAGGGGCCACTTGATGTGTACGTAAGGGTTTTCATAAAAATTGGCTATGAATTTTGACGAAATTGTCATATTGAGTCAGATTGCATAGTTTAAGGACTAAATTAATTGACACAAAACATAATTCAGCTGCTTAATTAACACAAATAGTACAATTCAAGGGACAAATCAGTCAATTTAATTCCTAAACTATACAATCTAATTCAATGTGATTATTTCATCAAAATTCACCATTAACTTTGACAAAAATCCTCATGAGCACATCACGTGAGTCGGCGATTGAGTTATAGTTCAAGGACTACACAGTGCGCACGTGAGAGTTTATGTCAAAGTTAACAATGAATTTAAATGAAAATATCATATTGAGTCAGATTACATAGTTTAATTTAATTGACACAAAATATACTTTAAGAACTTGATTAACAAACATAGTATAATTAAGGGGCTAAATAGGTAATTACTCAAAGAAAATCACAACCAAATTGAATCCGAGTAATTTATGTCAATTTTATAGCATACAAATTATGTATCCAAGTGATGAAGAAAAGAGCTCATTTCACCGTTATATCAATACTAAAATGGATCAAATTGGACAAGTATACGGCTGATCTCACGACAAAAATTAATTAAAGGAATTAATTGGGACGAAATTGATAGTTAAAGAACTAAATTAATATAATTGAAAGATCATATACTAAATTAAAACTGAAGACAAAGTTCAAGAACTATTTATGATTTTTACCATTTTTTCTTTGCAGAATTTAATTTTGATACCGCACCCTTATTTATAAATTTTGTGATAATAAATTTTGGAGGTCATTTTCTAATTTTAAGGTAAAAAGATTAAAATTTAAACTATAAAAGTTACATAAAGATTATAAAATTTGGCGGTACGGATTTTTCCAGCATCGTTGTCTTTCGAATCCTGCCTTTGACGACTTTTCGATCTTCTTATCATATTAACTTCAGTGGGGCCTCCAAACCCTTCTGAGAAGCTTCGTGTTTAAGGAAGTTCAACACTGTAAGTAACCTATATCTACCAGAGAGAGAGAGAGAGAGCTGACGAGGCGAAGGGTGGACTACGGAGGAGATGGAGCCCGCCAGGAATTTGTTTATGTAGCTTCTCCCAATAGATGAATTGTATGTGTATATATATAGTGTCTATATAAATGTATATAGCTCAAAGACAAGTAACCCCTTTTCAAGCTCATCATAGCTACCCCTTACCGGTCCACAGAGAGAGAGAGAGAGAGATCCTTTGTATGAAATTGATGTCGATTTTTTAGTAATTATCAGTGGTTTAATCTTCAATTCTTCAGAAAGGTTTCGAGATTCGTCATTTCTTTGGTTTAATCGATCGCTTCAGTTTCATAGAGGTCCTTTGTACGAAAGTGATGACGAATTTTGGATGATTATCAGTGTTTAGTCTTCAATCCTTCAGAAAAGATACGATTTCCGTTGGGCTCAAAGAAGAAGAAAAAATGAGGGAGAGAGAGAGTTTTATTCGGAGAAAAATACAGGTTGAAGAAGCTGGGAATTTAATATCTGGGCAATTTTGCTGATTTGTATTATGCAAATATATATATATATATATATATATATACGAAGAGGGGGGGAGAGAGAGAGAGGGAGGGTTGGCATTGATTGGTGGGAAAAATTGATAATTACCGATGGCCGTGGTGAGTCCTATGCCTGCAAGTCCACAAGAAATCAATCGTGTAAGGTACCCTACTATTGAAATTACAGATATAATGGGAAGTGTGGGTGAAATTGTGGCGGAATCACCATTGCCGGCAAGAGTGATCGAAGATAAAATGTATGTTACGGTTGGGAAAGATGTGAAAGATAGTGAATTGACTCTTAAATGGGCATTACACAACTCAGGAGGAAAGAAAATCTGCATCCTTCATGTTCACCAACCAGCTCAGAAGATACCCATCAGTAATCTCTTTCTACCCTTCCTTCAGTATATGCTTTATTTTCTGTTTTGTTGACACTTTTCAACACAGATTGCTCGGTTATGTTAAGGTTTTGGATTGGATAACTCCATTTATTGAGCTTTGCACTCCTAATTGTTGTGATTTGTCTCTTGATGTGTTGGTAGAACAATAGCTATCTGTGGATCATGTGTTGTCATGCCAATTACTATATCTATGTATGTATAGCTATCGCATATTCTTGTTCCTACAACTTTCCATCCAATTTATTAGTTGCTAGACAGGAAATGATAAACCGATTCACTATGGAAACTAAAAAAAGGAACTTAAACCCTTGGACAAAATGATGGACTGATGGAGTGGTTTAAAAGCTGTGGAGGTGAAAAAACCTGCAAAAGATTTAAAATAAACCAAACTCTTCTCTTTTGGAGATTCTATCGACTACCAGGATTCAATTTTTAGTGTTTTTGAGGTTCAAAAATAGTTGTTCCTTTTGTATAAACCGCTGACTGATTGTTCCGTTGCAAGACTAGGACAGTTGTATTCCTTTTGTGGTTTTTGTTCTTTTTAGAGACAATCCATCCACGAACCCAAACAACTGCTCCAATCCCATCCCAGCAACACTTCCCCCCCCCCCCCCAACAAAAAAAAAAACACACACACACACACACAAATCCTCCAACCCCCAAAAGAAATGTAAACATAAAAAATTTCAGCTTCACTTGTTTAATTGTTCTGTACTAGATAGAGATGATTTCTTCTGTTGGTATAGTTATTTACATGCAAATCTAAATATATATATCTTGTTTTGCAGTGGGCACAAAATTTGCAATAACTCAGCTGGAAGAACAGGAAGTCAGGGCCTACCATGAACTTGAGAGGCAAAATATGCATAAGCTTCTGGACAAGTATAGTTTGATTTGTGGCCAAGCAGGGGTATTGGTTTTGCTTATATTCTTCCATTCCGTGTAATTGTTGTTGAATCTCATTGCTTGCAAACTTGGTATGTCATTACAAATTGTTCTTAACTTTGCGGAAAACTAGGTTAGGAAATTATGGACACTGTGGATAAACATAGAACAGACCAATTACATGGATAAGCAGAAAACTAAAGTTTAACATAGTATCATCTTATAAAGGTTGTCAAACTTACCCTTTGAAGCTTAAAGTTTATATTTTCAAGTAGCTCCACACTGCTGTTTTTTCAGTTAATGACTTTAATTTTTGGGAGTTTCTTTTGGCATATAGAACCAGCATACTGGCTAACCTCAATTCTTATCTGTCATTCGTGACTTCTTATTATAGGTGCGTGCAGAGAAACTGCACATTGAACTAGATTCTATTGAGAAAGGCATTGTGGGACTCATATCTCAGCATGGTATCAGGAAGCTTGTCATGGGAGCAGCATTAGACAGACTCTATTCAAGGTAAAAGTAAGAACCATATAAATATTTCGTGACTTTGATGGTCATCATCTCTATTATCAGTAGTTTTACATGCATCACCTACTTCAGGTTTGCTAGGGCAACAGAGCAATTATGAGTTAACCTGAAGAGTCCTCTGGGTGATTCTTCTAGTATGGTGTCAATTTTTAGTCATGGGAATTAAATCTATCGAAATTGAAACTGAGAGAGACTAGAGTCTGCTCCTCACTCCTCGCTTTCACCTTACAAGCCGTCTCCTACAATTTTAATCCAGGAGATCAGTGATTGGACCTCTGGGAATATGACCATAATAACTTCCAAAAAAAATTAAATAGATTGCAACATGTTTTTGATCTGAAAATAGAATGTAATTGAGTAGAAATTGTTTTATGTCCCTTATTTGGGCAGCTTTTAGGCCAAATTGTTCCGTCTTCATGGATATGCTTTGCTAAATTGTAGGTGTTTAACGTTCTTTTTATCAACGAAGTTGATCCATTTCATTTAGGACCCCCTTTTTCTCCTCCTCTTCCTCCTCTTTCTCCATTAAATGGTATGATAATGTGCATTCATTGTTTGCCCCTGATGACTATTGTGCACGCACTTTGTAAGCATTGAGATTGTAAACATGGTTTCTACATTGTCTGCCCTGAATGATATGTGCTAAATATATGACTTCATAGGCTCTGTTTCCTTGAACCTTTGGCAGTCCTCAATGTATTGTTAAACGTAATGTGGGATAAAACATATTCGGTTTCTAATGAGTGCTTGTTCTTCTACATTAACATGGCAGAAAAATGACAGAGCCTAAGTCCAAAAAAGCCATCTACGTGCGCCTACAAGCTCCTGTTTTCTGTCACATTTGGTTTATCTGCAAAGGCCACCTCATTTACACGAGGTATGCTTGAAACTTTGATTCTTAAGTGTTGACGTCACTTCGTCAACAAATTTCTGTTATGGGAAAAATATTCGAAGGAAAAATCTTAGCTTCCTTAACAAATTTATGGTGCACCTTCTTATGGTCACAACATTCTCAATCAGTTATAAAAAAGAAATGGTATGCTCATGTGTTCTAACTGCTACTATTTCTCTCTGGTAATTATTTCATGATTCTTGAATTCTATCTAGTTTGACTTCTAATGGACTACCCATGTCGACATAGGGAAGGTAAATCAGATGGAGTCAATGTAGAGGGTGCAGGTCTTTCACTTGCAGCAACTCCATCCATTTCCTTAAGATCATTCTCTGTATCAGAAGGGCAGAATGATCAATTAAGGCTCAATGGTTCAGCTCCAGACTATCGTAGAGTAATGTCTGATAATCACGGAATGAACCTTCCTGCATTCTCTGCTTCATATTTTACTGAAGGGTTAAGACCTCGCAGCAGGTTAACTGCAGAAGGGAACTTCGAAGAATGGGATGGGTTATCAAGGAGAAGTCCTTCAGTGGGTTCACGTTTTTCAACTAGTTCTTCTAGTGAAGTGGTTTATGATTCAGCTTCTATCTCATATGCAAGGACTGAGGGAAGTGAAACTGGGTTAGAGTTACATGGACATCCTGACGAGGATCATCATCATTTGTCTCCTCCCAGTGTACAGGTAGTGCAACATTGTCATTATGCCAATGCAGATGCATAGAGCAAGTCCACTAACTGAATTAGTCTGTTTAGAACTTACCTTGAGCTTTATAATAGTCATCTAATACCCATTTCTTGATTTAATGAAATGAGTTAAGTCAGTTATTCAAGGCCTTTGAAATTTAATTTGTTTGGTACTTTAGCCTATGGTTCATGAACTTTGGCATCAAGGCACTATGCACAACGAACTCTCCCATCGGCTAGAAAAGTTTGTGGTGGAGGCAGAAAATTCCCAGCGAGAGGCATATGAAGAGTCAATCAGGCGCAGGAAATCTGAAAAAGATGCCATTGAGGCCGTACATAGGGTAACCTTCTAGTCATTATGCACTCATTTCTTTTCTTTGTGGTGGTGAGTTTTTCTCAGATGTGGTGCACAATGTAGAAAACTTGATGTTTTCTTATCTATGATATTTCCAACCACAAAAAAATTCATCTGGTTTTGTAATCTATTGAACCACACGAGTGGGTAGACATTACCCTTAGAACAAGTCTATGACATCTACACTCTAGGTCAGAAAACCGAAAATTTCAATGGTCTTTTTGGAAAATTAAAATCGTGGCCATCAATTTTACAGGCTAAAGTGTCCGAAACTCTGTATACTAAGGAACTGAGACGCCGGAAAGAAATTGAGGAAGCACTAGCAAGAGGTAAGGAAGAAAATGAAACGATGAAGCATCAGCTAGATGCAGTCAGGGAAGAACTCCAGGGAGCCTTGGAACAAAAAGAATCTCTGGAGATCCAAATTGCAAATTCTGATCGGATGGTGCAGGAGTTGGAAGAGAAAATATTTTCTGCCGTCGAACTGTTGCGGAAGTACAAGAATGAACAAGATGAGTTGAAGTTGGAGCGTGACGACGCACTGAGAGAAGCTGAGGAGCTAAGGAAAAAGCAAGCGGAGGCATCCTCCAGTACACATATGCCTCATTTCTTTTCAGATTTCTCTTTCTCGGAAATTGAAGAAGCAACTCGCAATTTTGATCCATCTTTGAAGATTGGTGAGGGAGGCTATGGAAGTATTTACAAAGGTCTGCTTCGCCAAACTCAAGTGGCGATAAAGATGTTGCACTCCTATAGTCAGCAAGGTCCATCAGAGTTTCAACAGGAGGTAAGATGGTTTGAGCATTATTCTGACTAAATACTTATTAAATCATTAATCAAAACCAAGGTAAGATGGTTTGATCACGATTCTCACTAAATACTAGTTTAGCATAAAGGTCCATTTACAAGTCAGGACCATAAAGACCTGCATGAGATCCCAACAGCTTCATGGCATGCTCAATTATCTTTTAATCTAACTATGTAAGACTCTTTAACAATTTTTGTACCTCACCACGTATTTCATGCCCCCTATTAGCATCTAGCTACTAGCTACCGACTATGGTACCTAACTGTCATTGTTCACACACGTGATTTCTCATAGTTTGTGAATCATTAATGCAACATACATGCCTTAAGGAATTCATATTCATAAAAGTAGGTGTTGAAAATGAAAATTGGCATTAATTTGTTTTTTTCAGGATAATATAATTTCTTCTATGCCATAATTGGAATAGTATGGATTTAGGTAGATGTGCATTAGGAACCTGGCCTTTTTTTTTCCTCGTGCAATGATTTGGATCAATGACTCAACTAAGAAAATAGATACCTTATTGTGGAGATGTCCCTCTTTCTTTGCTCCACCGTAATTGACTCACATGACATTGGATTCAAATTCTTTATTTGATGGTCTGTTGCCTGAAGACATGCTAGTACTTGAGGTCTCTTCATTGGTGCCCATCCATTTTCCTTTTTCTTTTAAAAAAAAATTTGGGAGGGAGGGGCATTTTGTGAACGCACTGCACCTGCACATAATTTTTCCTCATTCGGTGTTTTTGTCTCTGTAAACCTATCTGCGTAAATTACACTAACCTAGCTGGACCACTTCTGGCATGAGAACTGACTGCCATATGCAGGAGCATGTACCTGATCTGTGGATTCTTGACAATTTTACACTGGCAATACATGTTGCAACATTGGGTTATTTTGTGGGTATCCTAGAAAGAGCTATGCATCTGTCAAAACCCAACAATTTTCTAATAAAAAGCAAACAATGCTGTAAAATTTTTTCTCTCAGCATGTTTCCACATTGTAGTAATGTAACTATCCTGTACTTTACCTATTTTAAAGGAACAAAAGCTTGATCTCTATTTTCTGTTGGTTTTATGTTAGGTCAATATTTTGAGTAGGTTGAGGCATCCAAACCTTGTCACTCTCATAGGAGCCTGTCCAGAAGCTTGGATACTCGTTTATGAGTATCTTCACAATGGAAGCCTTGAAGATCGACTCAGCTGCAAGGACAATACCCCTCCGTTGTCCTGGCAAACTCGAATCCGTATTGCTGCAGAGCTGTGTTCTGTTCTCATTTTCTTGCATTCTTGCAGCCCTCACAGCATAGTACATGGGGATCTGAAGCCTGGTAATATTCTCCTTGATGCCAACTATGTGAGCAAACTCAGCGACTTTGGCATCTGTCGCGTAATCTCTAAAGACGACGTTTCAAGCGACAACACTACACTTTGTTGTAGAACGGATCCAAAAGGCACCTTAGCATACATGGACCCGGAATTCCTTGACACAGGAGAGCTTACTACAAAGTCAGATGTCTATTCATTTGGGATTATATTATTACGGTTGTTGACTGGAAGATCGGCCTTCGGAATAACAAAAGAAGTGCAATATGCATTAAATAAAGGAAATTTGAAAGACCTGCTGGATCCTACAGCTGGAGATTGGCCTTTTGTGCAAGCCAAACAGTTGGCTCACTTAGCTATGAGTTGTTGTGAAAAGAACCGTAGGGACCGTCCTGATCTTTCCTCAGTGTGGAGGGTGCTTGAATCAATGAGAGTTTCATGTGGAGCCTCCTCATTTCGGTTGGGATCTGAAGATGGTTCCCAGGTTCCGGCATATTTTATTTGCCCCATCTTTCAGGTTCGTGCACTGTTGCTTATTTCAATCTCTTATATCCTTTGTGAGAAATAATATTATCATATATACTGCTAATTTTTTATCGCCATTCACACGGATGCTTGAAATTAAATCCTTGTCAGTGGAGACATAACTAAGAACTTATGTCAAATTATACCTGGCTATGTTAGGATTAAAATTTTATTGCAGGGTACATAGTTTCGGTCACTTAGAAAACGGAAACGTTTCAAAACTGGTCGAAACATCCCAAAACGCCTCAAAACATTCTGAAACACTTTAAAACATAAGAATTCGATGTTCAATCACTATTCGTATTGGTATCCACGGAAACGGACACGTTTCAAAACAAAATATAGATCCAGTGATAAAATGGTGAAGAAAATTCAGTGATACATAGCATGCTCATCCTTCATACAAAATGATTTTATAAACTTGGCCCAAATATCTGGAAGTTATCTAATATATACCACTTCCTTAAGAGTATGCAGCCCTGTTTTTCACTTGTACAAATGTATATTTGAAGCACAGCAAGTGATTTCTGATATTTGAAAAAAAAAAATGATCTTTCCCGGTTTATCTGTGGAGTTTTCGTGGTTCAATTCACTACTACTGGCTGCCAGTATAAGAGCATGTCACTCCTAGAAAGTTAGCTTAGCAGTGCCCTTATTTGTTTTCTGTCTTGAAAACTTCTCATATTACTAATCTGATATTCTGGTTCATCAATGTGATTGGTAAATAAGCGGTCCTTCATTGTCTTAAACTTTCAGGAAATCATGCAAGATCCAGTAGTTGCTGCAGATGGTTTCACTTATGAAGCAGAGGCTTTGAGAGGATGGCTGGATAGTGGCCATGATACTTCTCCCATGACCAACCTCCAGCTTGCACACTGCAATCTTGTGCCCAACCACGCTCTTCGTTCCGCCATTCAGGAGTGGCACCAACAGTCATGATCCACTTTCTCCGATTATTTCAGTTGTTTTACAAGTTATACACAAGAGATGATGCAATGTTTCCTTTGCGTTTTTGTTTCTGTAATCGATCTTTGAATTCCATAAGCACTCTATTCTCACCCCTTGTATAGTTGACACTATCAATCTACTTGCTTTACAACAAATTGTTCTACACGAAGTTATGCAGGGACATCCGAATGAGCAGCTACTATGCATATATTAAGAATATAGGCACTCCAGCCCGTTTTCATGGAAATGAAAATGCAACCATGGTTCTAGGTACTGCACGGGACAAGGATGGAGTGGTCCTACTTACTCTTTGGTATACCTATACTTGCCACAATGATCTGAATTTGTGACAATGCTACATGATTGCAGCGTTGTAGGCAAGTGTCATCTACATATCTGCTCGATTAGCTGAATGCACAGTTGTTTGTAGAAATTGCCGGAGTATTTTATTTTTTATTTTTTGATTTGTGAAATTACGAAAAGATGGAATAGCCAAGAGTAAAACAGTAGAAAATTATCAATGGATGCAGCCACAAAACTAATAAGAAGTCACCAATATTGCCTCACAATGACTCTTTTAGAAACTCTTCCTTTCCTTATTTATTCCTGTTAGAATACAAAAGCTCACCCCCATCAAAATTGGGTAACAAAGCAATGTTAAAATAAATTAGAAAAAAAAAAAGAATCAGTAAAACTTGCTTATACAGTAATCCACACCAATGACGTTACGAACTAATCTACTTGCCATCGAAAACTCGACTATGGAAGCATATTGCCAAATCCATTGCAGCCAGTGATCACGGAAGTCTCCATGTTTATTGGATCACTTCTGGACCAGGTCTAGTCCTGCATGTGAGGAACAAAATTTCGTCAATCGGGCTGGTCAAGCAAGGAACATGACTATAATATTGCACTAAAAATTCTCCTTTTTTTTTTTTGATAGGAAACAATAATATCATTAATCATAAAGGATAAAAAAATTACAATAAGGAAGTCTATGGTGGACAAGTATTCCAAACCAAAGACAAACCAAAACAAAACTACACTCACCACAAATTCTCCTATACATACCAAAAATTCTCTTATACATTTACTTTTCACTACAGCATTGCAGGAATCAATCGGAAAAGTAAAAACGAATTCCAAATGAGAGAAAAATAATGCAATTTATTTCCTCGTACTAAATTGGCCCAAAACACAAACTGCACTATTTAGCTAATAATGAATTGTTAAAACTGCAATAATATCAGAAAGTAGAGTAGCAATTATTGAATTTTCTTTATTCATGTGAAATTAATGCCTTCTATATTAGAAAGGGAATACCCCCCCCCCCTCTTCCAAAAAACATAAAAATAAATAAATGAAATTTCAGATTTAGCAAAATAGTTCAGAACTCCTTAAGAGGCATTGACGATAACACACAAGGTGAGCTGGACGGAGGGTTGCATTAAAAAATTTCTACCTACTTTTCCTCCTCCACACATCCCCCTGATCTGTCAGCATGCACGCAGGTGTAGCCAAAGAAAGTTAATAAACATCTATTATAACCTTATCGCAGCACCAGAGATGCAGCCAAATTGGGCCATCTTAAAACTTTGGGTAGGTGATGAATAATACAAGACTACAGTCATGAGCTGGGAGAGATTGAATGGAAAATAAAGAATGTTAGACTTCTTGGAATGCTATTCACCCCTACCCTGAAGACCAGGAAGGAGAAAAGAGAAAGATGGATAGAGAGCTGATAACCACCAGAAGGTTAACAAGCACATCGACTAATTACTCCAAACTTTTAGATTGATATACAGACACACACACACACAGAGAAATATATGTGTGTTACATTCCGTACAAAAACGTGGATAAAAGACAAAGCAAGACCGCTTTAAACTCATTTCAGAAGAAGGGGGGGACCACAGAGAAAGAGCAAGCATTGTGGAAGTTCTTCATCGACTGAAAAGCAAGCAATTACCAAAGCATAAAGAATTTGAACTATTTAGTGACTATACCCCATTAAGGAAACCACAGCTTACATAAATTAAAATAAATGCATAGATAATTAAAAAAAAGGGGGATAGAATATGCATACTTGCATATGTCCTCAGAGAACCATTCCAATCAGTGGACATTGGCGCTCGCTTCCTTTCTTGGCCTAAAGATAAAATCTCTTGCATCCTCTCAGGCCAGTCCGAATTTAATCTGCGAGCAAAATCCTCCACCTCTCTGAGTAGGAGAAGATGGGAAAAGTCAACATAGGAAGAAAGAGAACAGAACATTTCAAGAAAAGATCAATATCAAAATGTATGGAAGGAGAAAAATGCAAATGGCCAGCGTTTCTAAATTGCACTATTCTCTTCCACAAACAAGTGCATCATAATACTGTGGCAGCAGACAATTTGTTGGTTATTCCCCTTTTCCTAAAGAATCTCCAACAGGAAAAAGAATAAATAAATAACCAACAAACTCACACACTTCCACGTAAAAGAGGAAACATAAAAGGCAAACAAAAACTCATTCTCAGGAATGATGAAAATATCTCCACAGGGAATAATAAAACTGTTTCCATGGAACCCATCTCCTCACGGCCAATCTAGAGGCCCAAGTCCCGACCAAGCATGGGCAGACATATATGGAGTTGACTGAAGTGCCCCACTAAAAGTTTCCTAAAGAAAGAGGATGAACTCTTTTTAATTCAATCTAGACAAGCTTGTTTAGTAGAGGTATATGTTGTATTTGATTCCTAGGGTTTGTTCTGGTTAGCTTTTGAGTAATTGTCTGCACTGCAGGTGCTCTCAATGTAGCAGGGGAATGTCTTAAGTGCAGCTAATGAATTCTTCATATCATTAGTGAAATTTATATACTAAGACAATGGAAGTTCCAAATTTTCAATCAATCAACAAATGCACCATCTAGAACTCTTCCAGAGGTAAAAGATAATGCTTGGTATTCTAAAGTAATTAAAAAATTCCGTGAAAATAGAATTTTATTGTTCTTCACTAAGAGAAATGCTGGTGATACTAAAAAAATGGATGCTCCGAGAATGTGCAATGAATCCACTTTTGCAAATCATATAAAAGTTTACTGAAACCGATAATTATCTTATGTCAAACTGCCTCCATTCACTGAAATTTCTAGCTCTGCCCACACAGCAAAGTCACTCCATTTACAGAAATTTCAACTCTACCCCCTGCAGCCAATTTAGTTTAGCCTCTAGCGCAAACCGTTCTACACACTCTTAACAGATAAAGAATAGCATCACAACCACTGGACCAGGATTTCACCCAACCACCACAACCTCACACTCAATGGCCATAAAATTATTGAAGATACCCACTGTTTTTTTGGGAAGGTAGATAGTAGATGCCCATTATTAAGTAAAGATTAGATGTTTTATGTCCGCATGCATGCACTCACACGTGTGTGTGTGGGTGTGTGTGTGTGTGTGAGAGAGAGAGAGAGAGAGAGAGAGAACAAAATACTTTCAAAATTCATCAGGTTCACCTGTCGATTTCTTCTCTCAAAACTGGATCATCAACACCATCATCAAAATCACCCTCAGGTGCAAATCTGTCATCTTCAATGTGTAGCTTTAGTGCATCGCCAAAATTGGGCAGAAAATGACTATGAGCCTTAGCATTGTGGCGCATGGAATTAAGAACATTTGACTCCTGCAACATGGGAAAAATATACCAATTATTTTTGTTGGGTTTTGGATTATTTATCTTATTTTATTTTGGGGAGGGAAGCATTCATCAGAAACTAATTTTCATATATCTACCAAATAAGGGAATACATTGGATATGAAAAGGATAAGGAGTTCTGAAATATCAACATTGATGTGCTGACCTTATCAGTGCAGTTGGAAGGAGCACAATTTTGTTGGTCTTTTCTTTTACGGTTCTTCTTTTTACTTTTAGAAGCTCTGACATCTTTAGAAGCTGCAACACATAAGTTATTAACTCCGGTATCTCCATCAAAAGGATATGAAACTTGAGGTCAGATTCCATATCCTGTCTTTCAAAAGAACATCACACACTCCAACACACATTAAAATAACTACCTGAAACGAGTAAACATATATGCAACCTATTTTGCAGCACCAAATTGAAAATAGAGAGATTTAAAAAAAGGAAAAAGGATAAAAAAACAAGAAGTCCATTTCCAGGACCGACAATAGAACAGATAACACAACCCTCAGAGTGACTAAACAATTAAGATAGTTCTACTTGGAGATTAGAATCTTGGAATATAAAGAAATTTTTCCTTGTTATGTGTTGAAAGTAGGTCATGTCTGCTTTTTCTAATAGGAACTCTTTTATGTAATTGGGTTAGATTGGATGTGTTGGAATTCCAAACAAAGATCCAAAGTCAATGTCCCAATAGTGTTACTTAGCCACTATGTTCTCCTGATCTCCAAGCCTAACGTCTCTGACATATGTGCCACATTGGCTTGTTTAGGTAAGGAATGAATGACCAAACAAATAAACAGGTATTTTCTCTCCTATTTGTCATGTATGAAGCATCCGCTCTTAGGTGTGAAGCCTAAAGACCTACGTGCAAATCCTAGAATCTTCTTCTGTCCTCCTCCTTTCTGTTCTGCTTCATTTTCCTTCCATTTACTGAAGGCTTAACACTTCAAAAGCCTACCTGTTCCCTACTTCTCTCACCCTTGATCCACTAGAGAAAATAGGCCAAGGTCTCTTGCATCACACTCCAACTAGAATATGTGATTGAAGACAGGTTTGGACTACCAACCGATTATATGAAGAGACCTTGTGTCAATTTAGGCAAACAACATTATTGCCAAGTTCCACTGCTACTAGAAAAAGATTTAGAATATAAGTTTTCAATCCAATTAGCCAAAAACAAAAAAGGAAAGAAGAAACAAAATGCAGACAAGTAAAGTGAGACACACTCATCATACCTCCATTTCCTCCATTTATAAATAGCAAAAGATCATCAACTGAACGCTCGTCCACAAGCTCCTCTTCAACTTCAACATTCTAAAATACATCAAAAAGCCAATCACAATCAGTTTTAACATGCATACTCAAATCAAGTAACCCACTAGTTGCATGACCACTAAGAACTGCAAAATATCATTGACAAGATATGTAAAGGAAAATTGCAAATAAATGGTATTAAAGCCTAAAAATAACAGATAATGCCAGTCACCTTCGATCTGTCTCTCTCTTTTAGTTCCTTCCTCTTTCTTGCGTACAGTCTATTGAGAAGCCGAATCCGAGGATCATCACTAATATTTCTTAAAGGCTCTAGTTTCTCTTCCTGTATAATTGAATCTTCATCAATATAACATAAGATGGTCTCTCAAGGCAACACAAAGAACACGTGAAGCATATACTTGCAAGCACAAGACACCTCTGTTAGATCGTCAGGCAAATGAAATGTCTCACGTATCTCCTCAGGAGTTTTCCCTTCAATCATTCGTGCAAGGGCACAACTGGTAAGATCAACCAATGGCTTCAATTGAAGACTGTCAGCGGCAGATGTCAACTCACACAGCGTTTTTGTGTCCATTCGCACAAACTTCTCATCAAACGACTTGTGCTCCTGTGCGAAAGCAAAGCCAAAAGTCAAATGTAGATTTACTATATCATCTTGTACAAATAATAACAAAGCTAATTGAGCTGTGTGTCATTAATATTGTAACTAACTAAATTATTGGTTCTGCACTATTTCCTAACAATTATGGACCCACTTAATTCTCTAGCTTCTACTGTTCTGGATCTCAAACAATTCCCCAGATTCAGTACATATTCTTATCGTTTTCTGCAGACACTTGAGCTTCTGATGGATATCATTATTGTGTAGATATATTAATGCATGCACTTAGGATTACTAAATCTGAAGCATTTTTTCATGTATCACACTTACTTTGAAAGATAAAATAAAAACTTTGAAGAGAGAGAAAGAAAAGGAAGGAAAATTGCCACAACATACTAGAATCAAGCAAGAAAAAACATCAATCCATCTTAAACAATAGTCCTGAAAAAAATCTAACCTTGTTGGAATGGCCTCGTACTTGGTGAAATCGGCAGTAATCCAAAATCAAACTCAACATTGCAGGATTTACTTGTGATGGAAGCGATATCGCACAGTTCTTTGAAGATCCCATGCCTGTCTGTATTTCATGACATATCGAGGGGCAAAACATGGCAACCTCTTGTTCTACTTGTTGTATTGAACCATCGGCAGTTTGAAGCCATATATAGGACATCATCACCTGACAGTGCAAATTGAAGCAACCACACACTAAACTCATCTGAATATAACTAATATCAAATGAAAATTCAAAGAGACAACAAAAGTAAAATGAGGACGTAAGTTCTAAGATCTAAGCATATCAACGGACGGAAACATCTGACACCAGCATCGATATCTTAAAACCTCCTTTAAGGTTCTATTAGACCTCTGTACCACCCAGCTCCTCCCACGGTGAAAGGGCATTACTAGTTTTGTCTCAATCATGTTGACAATATAGATTGGATACAAACCACAAAATTAGCATAAAGTGACAGCCTTCAAACCACCTTACAACAGTTAGGCCGAGTTTTCTACCACTTACACTAGGAAATTTCCCATCCCCTCTTCCAATAATCCATCTCAAATTTCGAAGTCTATTGAAAGTATATATATATAATTCTTTGTGAGAGCAATTTTGAACTATTTGGAGGTAGATCTCTATATAATAGAACATTTAGAGTAACCTGATTCAGTCGCCTAGCTATCATTGCTGAAAAATGTCATCCAAAACACCATTACTAGCCGCATGTAACAGATAAACGATGAGCTAGACATCATGCATGATGGGTCTCTGTAAGAGTAATGACAATAATATACCTGACATAAATGTGTTATTAACACAGTCTGAATTTTTCTACAATAATAGTTAAGAATCTGTATTGCCTTAACTGGGGGCATTGCTTCCAAATCTTATTAACTGTGCTACATAAGATATATAAATGTCATTGATGGAAGCAGAAGAACCTCAACTTCAACTTTCAATGACAAATCTAGTGAAATGAAATATAACAAATCATTTTCTTCCGAGTAAACATGTTATAATGACAATAAATGATTGATACAGCACAGCCCTAATAGTAAAACAAATGGCAATGTTATCTCCATCTCCAAGTTTTTATGCAAAAGATTTGATTAACTTTGAACTACATATCATTTATTTTTATCTTGCTCTATCATATAATATCAAGTACTAGAAAAACATGCATTCAATACTTAACGACAGTAAGAATATGGTGCATTGACACTGAAATACAAGCCAAATACAACTAGTCATCTTAGCTGTGCTATCATTAAAAAAAAAACAACAGCAGATGCCGTATGATTCAAGAAAGGAAATACTTTTTTGGACTTTTTCGAGCGGCCAGACGATAAAAACAAACCTTCCAAGAAACAATTCTCAAAAGTGAAATTAATAATGTCCTGGAGACTGGTTGGCCAACAAAAAGGCAAGAAAATCTACACCTTGGCATACCAACTACTCCTACTCAGATGAACCACGTATGTGCACCCATTTGATTTAGATAAAATCAATATAAAAAAAAAGGATTCTTTTTTTTTTTGTGTGTATAATACGTTGCCAAAAACGAGAAAGTTCCAAACTTCCATGTCACTTTTATATTCCTCAAATTACTCAGAAACCAAAAAAAATGCACAACCTAAAAAGAAAATCCAACACCAAGAATCAATCAAGAGCACATCAAAAAATTGCGCACAAAACCCTAACCATATAGTCACACCATTGCATATCAAAACGAGGTCAGCCTGGATAAAGATTATCAAACAAAGATTACATAGAAGGTTCCTGTGAGAAAACATTGATCGAGAATAAAATTAAACATTTTCTTATAAACAACCACGATCAATCATAATAAATCTATCGCAATACACGATTAGATTTCAACACATTAAGGTGACTACATACGCGGCAATAAGAGAGATAAATAGTGACTACCTGACGGGGAGAGAGAGAAAGAATGAAGAAAAACTTTCAATTTCAGAGATTTGGCGGTTGACGGAGAACCAAGAAACGGATAAAATTTGTGTGTTGGGGTGCTGAAAATGGGGACAGGGAGGATGAATGCCAGGAGAGTATTCTCTTTCTATCTCTATATTTATTTTTCTTCTCTTTCTCTCTCTATATGTATATCTGTATCTATATTTATATGTGCGTGCAATAACCAGTGAGCGCGCCGCGTCGCTGTCTGTCTCGCCTGACAATCTTAATTCATTAATCGTTAATTCGTTTAGCTCGTCCATAAACAAATTAAGCATTCGCTAATTTATGCACGTAATTTGAACATATAATGAGTTATCACTGATAAAATAATAGTAAAATATATTTAATAATAGATCCTATTATAGCATTAAATAAATTTATTATTATTTTATTAGTGACAACTCATTATATCTTCAAATTATATCTATAAATTATGTCTCAAATTTTGGTGAGTCTAGCATTATTGGTCCCAATAGTATTGCTCGTATTTATATTAATTTTAATTAATATAAATTATAAATTACAATATGAATATTTATCTTTTTATTAAATAACACAAGTAATAAAATTAAATAAATATATTAATATACCACGAAATACATACATTATTACACTAATACACACATACAATAATACACCAAAATATACGTACACTATTATACTAAAAACACACTCTATAATACACCACCCATGACTTGTTGGTTAATCTATGACCGACTGGTCGACCCACGACCCGTGTCCTATGTCCCACATGTTGATCGATAAACCATGTGTTGACCCATAATTCAAGAATCGACCCACGACTCACGGCCTAACCCATAGTCCACAATCGACCCCGACCTATTATGTGTGTGTTTTTTTTATTAAATGTGTTTTATTTTTTTGTTAGTATATGTGTGTATTTTTTGTGTATTAATTTGTACAACAATTTTAATTTATAGTTATACTGGTAATATTAGTTCAAACATCAAGATTACAATATAATAGTCTCAAAGACTATACCCTTCACAAGTTTGAATCAATGAAAGAATGTTTCATTCAATTGAATACATCATAAACTAATGGAACAAAATATAAGTTCATTGTTTAACTTAAAACACAAAATAAAATTCAAATAAAAGGGTGTTTTTTGGTCAAAATATAAACAAATAAATAAATTAGATAGCATTAGTATCACTCCATTGTTATGTCCAATTGATTCTGTCTGTAACACTTAAACCAGAAACTGAAATAAAAATCATAAGATTATTTTTTATTTATAATTTTATCTAGCATATGGGTAAAAAAAAATGTTAATTCTTAATTAGAGACCATAAACAGTCATGTTACTTTAGGTATTTGAACAATTGATCATATACTTGGAAATGATTCACATAAAGGGACAAAAAATATTTATCAATTCTTTATGGTGTGTGTGGTATTATCCCCCAATTTATTTAATGATACCATCTAAATACCAATAATAAAAATATTCCGTTGTGACCCAAAAAACATTCTTTGGTAAACCTCAATAATGTTAGTAAAAAAATTTGAACAAACATAAATGATGTGCAATATTACTAAGCTACAAATAATTGCATAAATATTTGAAACCCGAATACATCACCTACTCCAATTAAAAAATCTAAAGCGTAAGACAAGCATGACAAAAGTATGGATACTCTTAATTGGTCTTAAACAACTCAGTCCTTTTGACATTAGGAGACCAACTAAAGTTGAAACAACTCGCACAAGTCTTTCATTGCTACTAAATTGGTAAATAATACTTGGTTTAATTTTTTAAATAAAAAAACATTCATTAGATAAAACTAAAAATAGGTTTCTAACAGATCCCAAGTTAGAATGTCCTTCCGTTTTCAATAATAAACATGCAATCAACGAACAAAATTGATAGAAATCTACAACAATAAAAAAGATAACAATTTAACATCAATCTTCATTTCACGAGTCAAAACACTTATCTCAAGATTTTGTTTAATTTAAAGGTAAGTTGATCAACATACTTGATTCTATCATCTACTACATTTCATCAATTATTTGAGCATGTTCTTTCCCATGCTACAAAATTTTCAATCACTCACACTCTATTTAATGAGTAAAACCAAACTACCACAATTCAAAAGAATGATTTGAGATAAACTTGAGGAATGTAATCATAAGAACGTAGCATATAACTACCCTTTCAATTCTTGGACGACAAGGAACAACCTTCATATTCTTCAAATTATTGCCCAATAGTGTCAAATAAGTTGTCTTTGCATTGGTCCTTGATGCTGTTATATTTATTCAATAAGATCCACAACTATTAGATTCAAAAATAAAAAAAAGAGTGATTGAAGATCGAAAAAACTCTCAGAAAGAGAAATACAAAGCTGATATAAAAAAAGGGAAGAGTAATAGAAAGACAACATGAAAACATTAGAGAGTGATTATTGAATTTAGGATGAGAAGGTCAAAAACCTTATATAATGGCTACAGGCAATGAACCACTCACTTCCAGCAATCAAGCATTTTATTTTTTTAAAATTGTATTGTCTTTACATTTTTTTCTTTAATATACAGTCTGTCTAACTTCTTATTTTCTATATATAGAGAAAGAAATATAATCTTTTAGAAGTTGTGTCCCTTCATCTCTCTTGTTATATATATATTTTTTTTCTTTTTTTTTGGGAGGTGGGAGGGGGGAGGGGAGGTTGAACCTTTGATCTCAAGAAGGTAAAACCTTCACAAGATAAGGAGTACCAATGGACCAAAGGCCCATTGGTCATCTCTCTTGTTTTATAAAACTGATCATTTAATGGAGAAAGTAGAACATGAGGAGTATGTCATAAATGATATTAATATAATAAATAAATGGTGTATTGTATTGTCTTTATAATATATTTATTCATGGTAGTTAGATAATTAAGAAATGTTAGAGGGTAAAAGAGGAAAATAAAAGTTTTTGAAAGATACATACTTTTTAAAATAGTATAGATTAATGTGTATTAGTGTATGTATATTTTTAGTGTTTTAGTTTATTTTTGTTTTGGCGTATTAGTGTGTGTGTGTATGTTTGTATTTTGGTGTACTACTAATGTGTGTGTGTGTGTGTATTTTGGTGTACTAATGTGTCTATTAAGAATTTTAATGAAAAATTTGGAGTTCGATCTCTCTATATGGACTTATTTGAAGATAAGTTCGGCAACGAAACTTATTTATTATGAAGTCCGTTTTTTATTTTACCAAACTGTCATTTTCCTTTAGAAGTGAAGTAAACGACATTTTAAGGAAATCCTTTCACAAATGGAAGCAATTGATTCCTCCAACAACCAGTGCCTTCAAATTTGGCAACACTTACAAATCCGGCAACACTTATAAATTTGGCAAAGATTTTTTCTATCACGATGTTTCCTTCTCGGACAAACATGCAACCGAAATTTTCAAAAATTGTTCAAATTCAAATTTTAAACTGAATCCACTCAGTTAATACCATATTCGATTTGCTTCTCCAGTTTGTTGTGGAATCTATTGAAGAAGTTGTTGTTCATTCTAGGGTTTCAGAACATCTTCTACATATTCTAATTTTTAAATTTTCATTGATTTTTGTTTTTCCTAATTGCAATGTGCCATTCAGTGTTACTAAATTAAACGATGTAGTTTTCCCATTTGTGGATCGCTTATTAGGAAAAACAATTGAAAATAGCTTCGTTGTGTTATTGTGGAAAAACTCTGGTGTTACTGTGATGCAATAGTAACATGATCAAATATATTTCAACTTAGTCAACCATTTGATTTTAGAAGGCTGATATGATGTTATATGTATAAGTGATATGTTGTTATATGAAGAGTTGAGTATTATTTATATACTAGTAATTGCCCGTGCCTGAAGGCACGGCGTAACGAAAAATGACAGATTAAAACTCTAATTTACCATAACGTTATCATAATTTACCATACCACTACAATAATTAATACATATTCAATCATCAACACATATCCAACCACCAAAACATCAAGTTAATCCCTACTAATTTCAAGAAATTTATGCAGAATTTCTTTTAAAAATAGATATACAGAAAAATATAAACCTGTCTACAAAACTTACAATCATCACTACATACCCAAACCACCAAAACAACCATCATTCCATACCCAAAATCATCATAATTATGTATAATTAGTTAACTTTACAAAAGACGGAACACAAAAAATACACACATACACAAAATAAAGAAACAACTTCATATTCTTTACAACTTATACCAAGTATCCTTCAATGTATACCTGAAAATATTTGAAATATAAAAATTATCGAAATAAGTGAGTCAAAATAAAACAATTGTAAATCCGAAACATAAGACCCCTTACTTTTTTCGTTAGTTGGATTCAATAAAATTAATTACATTACCCTGAAATGATTTAGATTGATATAAGTAAGAATTTAGAGAGTTTGTAACAAATTATCAATTTATTTAGGAAAATATATGGAGGAATGTAGAGACTTACAATCAAATAAGATTTTCTTAGTATCATTTCAACAGACGGTTCATTTGCTTAATGATTTCAATCATAAATCTGTATTAGTGACAATATAATGGTGTGTGAGTTTGATTTGCGAGTGTTTGATTGGTTACAGTTATGTGTTTGTGTTTGTGCATGTATTGTGTGTTGTGTGTCTACATGAGAAATAGAGAAATATAGAGTCTTAGTAAGAGAGATTTTCATACCTAAACAATTGTTTGGTCAGTGATGAGTTAGTCATCGTCAAAGGTGGACAGGTCGGTAATGGATTGCATATCATTTAACTCTCTTAAATGTCTTATTCATCCCTTTAAACCTTCTCTTCATCACTATCCTTAATGTCCTCGTATCAATACGAACGCACTTTGCCCAATGAGGAGAATGCACAACCACCTAAATTATTCACATAAACAATAAAAGTAACACAATATTTATATTGTAGGAATAGTAAAGTTATTTTAATACAGTGACATAAAGTAGATTTACCTGATTACGTCGGCCCCATCCACAAAGGTCCATTGTATATACACTATCGTTCTCGTTGACAAATTCACTCCAATCCTATAAAGAATGAATCTCATTGTAAAACTAAAAGTTGAAATGATGAAAAGATTA